TTACTACTCTGTGTTCTGTTAGACTGTAAGCTCTGTGAAGGCAGAAACCTAATTTTGTTCACAGTTGTACTCCTGTGCTTAGACTGGCAGATTCTCAATAAATACTTGTTGAATAAATGAGTTAATAAGTGTTTTACCATCACCACCACCACCGCCATCATCACCGTCGTAATCACCACCACCATCACTCCTACCATCACCTCCACCATCACCGTCACCATCTCCACCATTACTACCATCATCACCATTACTATCACCACCATAATCACCACCATTATTATCACCATCATCACCATCGTCACTACCATCATCACTACCTCTATCACCACGACCACCAAACACCACCACCATTATCATATATTTAGTACCTGATCTTCTTTGGAAACTCATTCTCCAGGGTCCCAGTGCCTATGGCTATTTAGAATGCTCTGATTTATACCTTTCTTCGCTTATTCCCCAATTTCAAAATTCACTTCATCTGGGCTCCATTCCCTTGGGGCTCTGTTCTTTTCTAGGAGATAGCTACTCAATTTGTTATAGTAATTCTGTTACTGGCAATTGGGTGTTGGTAGTGGCCCTCTAAGGTAATATGATCTGAGAATAAGGACAACATTTGGTTTCAGCTCAGCCACTTATTCGCTGTGTGACTTTGAGTGAGTGACATCACTTCCAAGGGCTTCTGCTTCTTCACCGAGAAGACTCTTGGAGAGACCTCCTCATTGCACACGCTGGTTCTTTGTGTGTTTCAACACAGACCCTCCACTGGTAATGCTTTAGTCCACTGGAGCAAATATGGATGGAGGTGGTACATGCAAGTGTTTCACAGTGAATAACGAGCCATTATCTGTAGTAGCAGCAGCCTTTGCAGAAGCAGCTGCATCTCCTTGGGGGAAGTTCTCTGCCCATAGTTGCTGCCAGATCCAATCAGTCAGGAGGCAGGAACAGGCATGGACAGGTAACCACCCCACAGTAATGACAGGTGGTTGCACAGCCTTCCCTTTTCCCCAGAACCATGCTGTCCTTGTCACATGTCATGGCCCACCTGCTTTGATAGTCTGACTCGGGGCTCAGAGTCCATGTCTGGCTTATTCACAGCAACTTTCCCAGCTAGCAATAGAACCCTTTATTAATGCCATGTGAGTAAAGTATGGGTTCAGATGGCACAAAGTTAAGCACTCTTCTTAGCTTTCCCTGGCAATTTTCCTGGTGGGGACTGTCACATCAGAAATGCATTGGAGGGAAAGCAGCAATCAAGCAATGCAATTGAAAGGAAGAAGTATAATTTTGGGCAAGTTTCTTCATTTTTCCTAATTGCTTCTCTTTTTTTCTTTTCTCTCTTGAATCAATCTGCAGTATGGCTTGGTAGAATGCACCACTCAGGATTTAAAGAAGCTTAAGCAAAACTTCGCTTATGTAAGGTTATAACATCTCAGGCCTAATCCCCAGACAATGAGAATACAGGATTTTGGACTTGCTTTCTCCTGGGAAACTCCAGTAGCCCAGGCTGTCCAGATTGTCATAACTTTTCCTACGTTTACATCCAAGTGAAATAACAGCAACTCAAAATAAGAACAAGGGAAGACACTGAATTTATAAAGACAAAAAAAAAAGAAGAGAGGGCACTATTTTTAAGGATAAAAGAATATTCTTGCTGCCAATGTGGTTTGAGTACAGAGACAAAATTTCACTTTAAAGACAAAGATGTGAAGCCAGCAGTGGTTAATTATTTACCCTGGGTCACACAGTAAGTTAATAGCACAACCAGAATCAAGGTCCAATCTCTCGACATGAGCTGAGTCGCTTCCCAAATGATGTTGCCTTCACTTTCTTTTCAGTAAAGGATGAAAACCAGCCAGTTTTGAAAGAGTTAGGAAGACAGATTCTCTATAAAGGCGAAAAGAGAGTGTTATTTACATTCCACAGTCAGGGAAACTGAGTCACAGAGGGGATTAGTGCTGTGGTCCTCACTAAGGGTGATATTTATCCCCAGTGGATGTTTGGCAATATCTGGAATCATTTTAGGTTGTCACAACTGGTAATGACAGTTATGACAGCTTGCATCCCCTGAGTAGAAGACAGGAATGCTGTTAAACGTTCTACACAAGACAGCCCTCTACAACTAACAATTATCTAAGGTCACGCACAATAAAGATAAATACACTGAACAATAAATATTTTTATCTGGGGATTGTGCGCTTAAAGTCAGATTTAGATTCTTATTATCATTGAAAGTTTGCACAATTTGGGTTATCAGTGCTTTTCTTTTTTTCAACATACGCCCACCTGTTTCCTGAAAACTCCCTGCCAACCTTCAGTGCTAGACTTGGTCTTGACCAAAGTAGACAAATTTGTCTTTGGGTCCCCAGTCATGTGCTCTGTGTCTTGTCCCCACCCAGCTCCACTCTCTTCAGATACCCAGCAAGGACTGGGCTGCTCATCCTCACTGTTTCTCAGCAACGAGTGCCCTCAGGAAAGTTCTGCCTTCCTTCACTCTCACTTGGACATGAATTGAGGTTCATGTGCTATTCCTTCTGGAGAGTCGGCATGCCACCTTTACCTCTGTTCTGACATTTGCATCCTGCAAAAGGGATTTCCAGCCTCTATGACCAGACTGGGAGGAGTTTGAGAGGAATTCAGAAAAACTGTGCATCAGCCTCCGTTTTACCTGATGCCTGAGCCGAAACCCTGAGAAAACACACACAGCCCCGTCATCCTGTGACAGGGTTCTGGCTAGGATTCCACAACTTCAAAACATTTTCTTTTGGGCTCCCTAAGCACATCTTTCCATACTAATAAAGTCAAATTATTAATTGAGAAATTAAAAGATTTTTTTCTTTGTTCTTTGTTTAACTGCATTCAGAAGTTTCATGATAGATTTCCAGGATTTGTGAAAGGGAGAGTTAACTGCCTGAATGACCAAAAAAACAGTTGATGATTTTTCTGTGTCATTTTTAAAATTGATTTTTGGAGGCTCTGTATTTTAGCTTTTAAAATTATTAAAACTGAGCAGATTTTGGAAGGATTCACAGAGGTATTCTAAGGCTTAAAGGAGCTAATAGAGGTGAAAGTGCTTTTGAAAACCACGGAACATTTCGTGTATGTAAACAAGGGTGTGATGGAGATGGAGATATTGCTCAAAATGGCTAGGATCAGGACCTCTATCCCTTAACACCCAAGTCCTCCCCCTCCAAAAATAAAACCAAACCATTTCCAAATAGATCTTCTCTGTCTCATTTTAAACCTTTTCATTGGGATATACATTTCAAACTTAGAACTTCATAGGCTTTATATGATTAATAAAATCTTAAGGTAATTTGCATTGAGTATGTGTGCTCATTCGATACTTAACAGCTTCGGCTTGGCCAGCTGCCACCACGGGCAGCATTAGGTTAGCTGCTCCCTGTCTGCTTCCCTCTTGCACTGGCTTATGTTAGGCAGTGATTTCTGACTTCTGGGTGTGTAAAACTACACACAATGTGTGAGTAAGCTTATGCTGATGAGCGAGAGTATCATTTTAGAATGCTTAAGAAGGATTTAAATGTAACTGCTAATTTAAATGTAACCGCTGCTAGCTGTTGCTTCCCCTCTCACTGCAAAATTGTTATAGTAACTTCAAAGAAGGAAAAGAGGAATCTTGTCAGCAAAACAGTAAAAATAGTGATCAGCCACGTCTAAAATAGGTTGGTTATAAACGGTCATGACACTTTTGTAAACATTTCCCCAATTCGACATTCCTCCAAATCTTTGGAATTCATTGTCTTATCATTATGGAATGTAAATGCATAGAAAGCAAAACTGCCTTCATATGTTGGTTTCTACTTTCAATTTTTAAGCTTCACTGTTTCTTAAATTTACATGTAGCTTAGTTATTAATAAAAGCAACTGTTCTTAAAAGATAACCAGAAATTATATTTCATATCATTCTCAGTCTAATTTTTCTATATTAACAATATTGATTTCATTTAACTCAAAAGAATATACAAACCAAACTCAAACACAAAATTCTTTCAAAGAGAGAATTTCATAGATAACCTAAGGAAATTGGTAACATAAGTATTTCTTTTCCTCAGTCTTTGATTGTTTGAAATACCCCCCAGCTTAACATTGCTTCATAAATAATCTTCTCTTTAGGCAGATTGGATATACTTCTCTGTACTGAAGTCTGGCTCTCCAGGCTGAGTACATTGGTATGATCCAGGACTGCACAGGTCCTGGACATCCCATTTAATCAACATCCCATGCCTGGTCCCACCCTTCCTATCCGTGGGAGTTCTATCTCCTTTCTCAGAAGGTTGTTCCACTGCAGGATCTCTGCATTCTCAAAGGTGTTTCAAGATCTCCTGCAGAGAGCAGCATTGAAGGTAGAAAATGTCTAGATTTGAAGTCAGCAGACTGGAATCCTACTGCAGCTTTGTCACTGAAAGCTGACCTTACCCTGTGTCCTAACTTGCAAAAGGGCATGAGTAATGCCTGCCCTACTTACCTCACAGGACCCTGTGAAGAATCAATACCACTTCATAAGTGAGAAAGCCCTACAGTGACACATCCTTGTCGCAGGAGTTAGGATGAGATGGAACCATTCATTTCTTCACTCTTACTATCAGTGTGAAAATGGAGAAAAGCTGTGCCTTACACATCTTCTGTGAGCCTTGATGTTTGGTTGATTGACTCTTTGATTACAGTCATTGACATTTTTGTCATGATCACTCCTCAGTCCCTGGGCAAAGAGGTTCTTAACAATAACTGGTCTGTAGTATGATACCTATCATCATTTGTCTGAAGCCAATGAAACAAATGGTGTTGAGATGATGATTTTGTTTTATAGCACATGATAAGCTCAGAGAATTCAAGAAGCTATACTGGGTGTCAGAAGCTAGAATCTTACAAATGAAAGTTTATTAAGTGTTAGTTGTCATTTCAGCAGCTCTTAATAAACCGGCATCTATTCTGAGGCAAACGATGGATGTAACAGATTTTAGGAATCGGTAGTTGCTGCTTACCATTGCAGACCCCACACGGCTGACTTTGATGGGATTTCCCCTTCCAGAGAGGTCCATTTGTGCTCTGTCCATCACGTACAGGCAAATGTCCAGGATGCCATCTTCAAACTATTTGGAGAAAAAAAAAGAGTAACCACTTAGTGTTCACTCTGCAAAGAAATTATTCTCTGACGAAAAATAAAAGGAAACCACAACCTAATGTTTAAAAATGTGTTTCCTATATAGTGATCTCCCATAATCTTTAGTATGAAATATTAAAGTAGAAGGAAGAAGACATCTTCTTTTATTTTTCATTAAAGTGAATAAGAATATAAAAGCAAGACAGAAACACAAAAAGAACTACTAGAGAGTTGATATTTCAGGGATCATGAGCTGAGTTGAAGTTCTTCAGAAAATGGTTCAAGTTAATTTAGAAGGTCTTTTCAACATACTGGCTCCTGTACCCAAGAAGAAGGAATGAATGATTTACCAAAGTCAGGCCAGAGTCTCAGGACCTCAAAAGTAATGTAAGTCTTCATGCATTTTGAAAATAAAGAGCTCTCAGGTGTATCACAAGAAGGCACTTCACACTACTTAGTTTGCATCCAAACTAGTAGGAGACCTCATATAGTGACAGTCCCTCTAAGGTTTCCCCTCTTCTGAGACAAGGTAGACCCCAGGATCAAGGAGAAGCCAGAAGGCCCGCAGAAAGTAGATTACACTATCAAGGGAAGAGTCTCATACCAGTTCAATTTCCTTAGAAAGAACTGCTAGCCACAGGCAATACCAGACTTCTTTTAAAAAAGGAATAAAGATCACATAGCAAGACAGGAATTTTTTTTTTTTTTTTTTTTGACACGGAGTTTCGCTCTTGTTACCCAGGCTGGAGTGCAATGGCGCGATCTCGGCTCACCGCAACCTCCGCCTCCTGGGTTCAGGCAATTCTCCTGCCTCAGCCTCCTGAGTAGCTGGGATTACAGGCACGCGCCACCATGCCCAGCTGATTTTTTGTATTTTTAGTTGAGACGGGGTTTCACCATGTTGACCAGGATGGTCTCGATCTCTTGACCTCGTGATCCACCCGCCTCCTTACCTATACCTCACTGTAAGAGATTTCTCTGAATACAGAAACCTTGCCTGCTATCCACCCAAGTATTTGTGACAGAAACCACAATCATAATGGCTAATTACCATGCAAATCTTTATTCAGCCCAGTTAAGAATACACACTCTGGGTGTATCCCAAACTGATAGAATGGATGCAGTAATGGGTAATTGCACTAGTTCTTCAGGTATGCCAATAGCTCAGTATTTTGGTTCTTATTAAGCAGCTTCTCTCGGCTGTTTTTGCTGGGCATGATAGCAACTAACTGGAGAGTTAAAGAAATAGTCATAGAACTGATTGATTCCCTGTATTACTGCAAAAAGACTTGGCTGGTTATTTTGGCCAAAGGGCACAAACCAATAGCCTCTTTGAGTAACAGAAAATACAGTCAGTGACTGTGCTCCAGGGTGTCTATCCAAAGCCAAGCTGGCTGAGGAGTGCCCTGACTGGGCTTGGGACACCTTTCCAGACCTCCTTGCTGCCCACCTTGACGACTTTTCTTCTTGTTAGCTATCTATAGGTTGTCACATTTGGGCCATAAATAGAATCACCAGGCTAAAGGCTAGAAATTGAGGATCCAAGGGTTGCATGTCACTGAGGAGGGGATAGCTTGATACGAGGGAGCCAGGCAGGAGTCCAAAAACAAGGGGTGCCAACATAGCTCAAGCTTGGCAGGACATCAGAAATGCAGGCGGGCAAGCCTGAGCACTGGGCATGTAATTCTCTGGAGTCGGGGTGAAGAAGCTGGTCATAAAGCCAGGCAGGCAGATGACACAGGGACAGGAGCAGTGGGTGAGGAACACAGGGAGACCCCATATGGAGGTCAAAGCAAGGCATCCAGAGCCAAGAAAGTATCCTGTGACCTGGTGCAGCCAGATGCCGCGAAACCTCCCCACTGGCTACCCAGAGCCATGCACAATTCCAGCCATCCCAGCCAAAACTCCCCGAGAAATGGCATTCACCCCCTCTTGTGTTGCTAATTAAAAATCATTTTGAAATCACAAGATATGCATTCATTTATGGAAAACTGGTAAAATATCATTCATTTGCTCCACTGTTAAAGATACCAAGCTGAAATAGTTTGAATGACTGAATATCTTAAAGAAATGCCATTTTCTACTTTATGTCTAGACAGTAACTTGAGTTTGCAGCTGATAAAATGTTTCTAGGTAAAAGCCCAGGTGGCTGTTCTTTGATGAAATAACACTGTTTTCTAATTAGCAGTACCCTAGGCTAACACTTTTTGGAAAAAAAAAACCAACAAACTATTTGTTTGAATTGGGCACACCCCTTGCGGTTTTCTTTGCATCACTATCAAAATAACTTTCTTTCTAAGAAAAGGAAAACTTCAGTCCATTCCAGGTTGACCTAAAGAGATCTCACTGTTCTAAGTGGCCAAAGCATTTCTCAATAGAATGTCACATTATTCATGGAATCTCTCATTTCTGTAACACTGTAATACCCAGAGATATGTGGTTTCAGCTGATAAATTATGCAGTTGTCTTTATGAGTCCCTACTCCTATACTCTCTGCCTTGGAGTCTCCAGTCCTAAAAAGCAGGAAATTGTGCTTGTCTAATATCGATATATGGCACCCTGCAGGGATACATGTGACAAAATATATGAAGTAAAAATGTCCTTGACAATAACAAAATTTAAATGGCTCACCTGACCATAGCTCCAGCTCCTAGTCTTGATGTCATTGACCTCTCCATAAAAAATTACCCCGATGTCGTTCAGGACATATTCTTCTCTTTCTTTCTCATCATCCAGATACACAGCATCATCTGCATCAGAATTTAAACATAGTGACCATTACCAAACCAGACTGTTTTCAAACACTTGCAAGTTTCTTTTGTTTCTAAACTGCACTTAATGAACCAAAATTTTTTTTCTTTTTTTTTTTTGAGACAGAGTTTTACTCTTGTTACCCAGGCTAGAGTGCAACGATGTGATCTCAGCTCACCACAACCTCCGCCTCCTGGGTTCAGGCAATTCTCTTCCCTCAGCCTCCCGAGTAGCTGGGACTACAGGCACGCACCACCGTGCCCAGCTAATTTTTTTTTTTTTTTTTGTATTTTTAGTAGAGACGGAGTTTCATCATGTTGACCAGGACGGTCTCGATCTCTTGACCTCGTGATCCACCTGCCTCAGCCTCCCAAAGTGCTGGGATTATAGGCGTAAGCCACTGCACCCGACCAACCAAATTTTTTAAAAATGCTCTTTGTTTCATTAAGCATGGCTCATTTTCCAATATTTTAGTAACAGTGAAGATAATCAGCATCAGAGTTCAGTCTATAAATGATGACATTTGTTGCAAAATGCTGGCAAACTCTGGCTCTTTAAGTTCCAAGCAGCAGAGTTAAATTGATATGTCTCATTAAACATTTTATGATTCCTGTGCATCAGTAGTTTCAGAATTCTATGATGCTGATGTAAATCTCTAACACAAATTAAAATATAATTTCCAACCTTCTAACATTAATAGAAAACTAGATGAATTGAAAATGGTTTTTAAAACAAATCTGGGACACAGGACAAGGCAACAGCCTAATTTGTCATGTCATGTCTATTTTGTGGCCCAACACTGGCAAGAGGAAAGCAGTAGGTCATCTCCTTTTAATGAAAGATACTTGTGGATGTGCCAGTATGTATGTATGTCCAACTATCTTCCCTGGCCAATGTCTTTCACTGCAAGGACTTCTCTTCCCTGTGGCTAGAATCTCAGGTGGGTCATGCTCCCCGTCTATCCACTTGGTCATCAATCGGGTGCTTATTCCCAGGCCTGGTGGGAGAGCAGCAGCAAAGCAGCTTTAATACAGACAGGACCCTACAAGTGTAAGTTGCACTCAGGAAAATGTGTGTATTTGGAACAAGCATCTAAATGTTTTTATATGAATTCTACCTCAAGGTGACAAAATAATTGATGATAATAAATGCAAAATGAATGGTAGAATTAGAATGTTGCAATTCCTAATGAAATAATGAATTGAGACAGAAATAATTCGTTAAGAAGGAAACTTCATAATGGATGGATAAGACTAAAAAAACTTGACCGGGTAATATTGATAAGCCTAAACAGATGTATCTCCTGCTAGGATGAATGTCCTGGGAAGCAATGGCATGACTTATGAAGTATTTTTCTCCCATCCTCCAAAAAAATGTGCCACTTGAAACTGAATCTGATAGAGTCTCTAGATCTAACTAGCTGCTTAACAGAAAATGCCACAGCGGTTAGAGAAACATATTTCATGCCACCAGGGGATAGACTCAGCAAAATTCAGAATATGGAAAGTTCTACATAAAAAATGACTCCGTTTCAGCGATAAGTTTGTGGCATGAAGAAGCAGATGAAGAGGATTACTCTAGAGGAAAAGATTTAAGTGACATACCAACCAAATTTAATCTACATACCTTAATCCAAATAAACTAGCTAAAAAGATAATTTTTAGGCATTGGGAAAACTAAAGATAGTTCATCAGATAATACCTAGAAGATCTTGTTGATTTGTATTAGCTGCAGTGATTACACACACACACACACACACACATACATACACACATATATAGGTGCATATGTATCTATGTATACTGCGTATATGTCTATTTTCTTGAAACTGCATGCTAAAATATGTATGAGTAAACTAATATGATTACTAGAATTTGTCTGAAGATGCTAAGGCGAAAAGCAAGGGAAAAAAGGATAGATTAAGCAAATGTGGCAAAATCTTGATAACTATTCAGCCTGAGAGACATATAAGTAGATATTCATTGTGCTATTCTTTCTGTTTTTGAGTTTGTCTGAAAATATTTATAAGAAAAATTAAGTTTATCAAAAGATATGAAACTCAAATACAAAATATTTCCAATTGGATGTGAAAATTCAGTAACATAAAGATAAAAATTCTACCCACATTAGTCTATATGACCAATGTGAACCCAGCCAAACTTCTACTCAGGATTTTTGGAACTTCGCATGCTCTTTCAATAAGTTTATCTGGAAAAAACAACATGAAAGAAAATAGTCAGGTCAGGCAGGGTGTGGTGGCTCATGCCTGTAATTCCAGCACTTTGAAAGGCCACAGTGGGTGGATCACTTGAGGTCAGGAGTTTGAGATCAGCTTGGCCAATACGGTGAAACCCCATCTCTACTAAGAATACAAAACTTAGCCAGGTGTGGTGGTGCGTGCCTATAATCCCAGCTCCTCAGGAGGCTGAGGCAGGAGAATCACTTGAGCCCAGGGGGTGGAGGTTGCAGTGAGCTGAGATAGCACCATTGCACTCCAGCCTCGGTGACAGAGTTAGGTTCTGTCTGAAAAAAAAAAGAAGAGAAAATAGCCAAAAGCTAATATGTTGAAAATGAAGAAAGACTGAAGTACTTAAGGTAAGTTAAACTTTGGACCCCAATTTATAGTTTCCTGCATCTATGCCCTTTGCCATGTTTCTAGTAGTTCTTCCCTCTAAATGTGGAATATCCTCTCTTGACTTTGGGCTTATTTTGGCTAATAAGGTGTTAGCAGAAGCAAGTAGGGGTATAAAATGTGACTGCACAGCTGAGCTGCTATTACTCTGAGGAAAATATGCCCCAGCAAGCCCACTGGTCAAAGAAGGATGTGAGGCACCAGAGCAGAGGGTCTCTGGAGCTCTCAGGGAGAAAAAGATCCTCTCCAGCTGTTCCCACCTGAAGCAGAGGTGGTCAGTCAAATATAGATGAGCCCAATCCTAGCCAAGCCCCCGATCCATGAATAGGTGCTTATTGTTGTATGCCACTGAGATTTTACAGTTCTTCCTTATGTAGCAGTACTGTGATTATAGCTAACTGCAACAAAGCTACACTTAAAACTGACATTAGCACAGTGATGGACAAATACACGGAAGGATCTAGATGTATATTAACTCATACTTAGATATATATTAAATAATAAAGATGGCACTTAAAATCAATAGGTAATAATAGATCTGATCAATATATGTTGTTTTGACAGCTCGCTATCCATGTGAGAAAAAAAGTATGTCAGTAAGATCTCTCTGTTTCTCCCACCATATACAAACTCGATCCATGGATTTAAGAGGTGCATGTGTGTCTCTTCCTGACAATCTTTATTTCTCCCGACATGTTCCAGGTATAAGCAGATAGAGAAGCATAACATTCAATAAATACATGATAAAATGCTTGACTCCACTAATAATCAGAGACATAAAAACCAAATTAACCATGAAATCCCAATGAGATATCATAATTCTCATACCATATTGGCAAATATTAAAACAAATGGTTAACCATCAGTGCCAATGAGGGGATGAAAAGATGGACACTCTTATCTATTGTGGCTGTAGTGTAAAATAGTGCAGCCTTTTAAAAGGGTAATTAGGCAATATCTATGCAAATTTAAAATGTGAATTCACTTTGCCCAAGCAATGCTATTTCTAGATGTCTATTCTACAGACATCGTTGGTACAAAATGTATGTGAAACATTCAAAATGGCATAACATGCTATAGTGAAAATAGGAAACAATCCAAAGAGTTCAAACAAAAGACCAAAACAATGATGATATAACCATACCAAGCAGCCATTCAAAAGAAGATGCATGTATATACTGCAAGATATACTGTGTGAGAAAATGAGGTACAGAGCAAAAGGTTGACACAATCTCATTTGTAGTTTAAAAAAACCTAAACTCTTTCAGTATATATATGCATATCAATATATGAAATGATAGCAAAATGTCTGTAATGATATGTACAATTAAGGTTGATTTTCTCTGGGGATTCTCTAGGATTGGAAGATCGGTGAAAAGAAAAGTTTACTTTCAGTCATACATATGTACATGTGCATTTATTTGAAAAGAAGAATATATTCAAATAGTTGTTTAAAAACGAAAAGCACTGAAAATACTTTAAATGAATGACATTACAACTAAGTGTTAATTGTTGGTGTCTCTGATTTGTAGCTCTTTGAGCTCTTTTTATGCTTTTATTATTTTTTATTTGTCTAAGGAGACTTTTTCTATCAGAAAAAGTTATTTTTAAATGTGTTTCCATTTAAGTGAAGCTACCCATTTAATAAGAGATTAACAAGTTCAAGTTTTACGCATTAGTTTTTCTTTAAGAGCAATAGGTTGTGCTCTTTTTTATTATCCATGTCCTTAAACACAACTTTTTTCTCCTTCTTTAAGTCTCCCTGAACCCTTTTCTTTCCAGCAGAGACTGAACCTTGCTCCCTTAGTGCCCTATGGAGGCTGGGTAACATTTATCCCACTGTACAGACATTACTGTTTAATTATTATATTTATTGAATAAGCATGTGTTTAAGTATATACTATTTAAATTTTTTTAAGTAGTAGCATGTAAACAAGCATTGTTATACTGATTATTTACTGCCAGGAACTTTCTAAGTGCTTTATAACAAGACCCATGAACTCATCAACACTCATAACAACCTTGTAAGAAAGGTAGCCCCATTTCACTGAAGAGGAAACTGAGGCAAAGAGAAACACAACTATTCCAAGGTCATCTAGCTATTGAGTTGTGAAGCTAGGATTTGAATAAGCTGCCTTCCAAGTAGTCTGTGGCTCTTGGGTCCAAGAGATTGAATGACTGTGTCCCCAGCCCCCAGCATCGTGCCTTGGAACATGGTAGGAAATCAATCAATATGTACCGAAAGAATGAGAGATGGGGATGATGTCTGGAGCTTAGAGAGTAAGGGAGAAGTCCAAGAAAATGAAGGATTTACTTTTGGGCTTTGGGTTAGTATTGATGGGATGTGATAAATTTAGGTGGCAAAGC